AAATTGTAAAAAGAGCCGCAAACAGTTTTTGATAATGTATACTTAAAAGATATTTTTAAGATAGTTTTAGTTTGTGACATATATTGTGATGCAACTAAACAGTTGGATTAAGTTTTATTATTTTCTTCAATTTCAAATGCAATTACATATTAATATTTGCATTCCACTATTATTGCAACATTTGCAAGTTACAGTATTTATTATAAAAAATCGTAAAATTCTATGTACAACCATCAAAATCATTTTTGAACAAGCTTTGAATAAGGAAAGAATAATACATACACTAAAAATAACTTAATCTAAATATATGAACCTAAAATTAACAAAAATACTACAGTATAAACTCAATGTTTTAATAATTACATTTGTCCTGGCGTTTGGCATCTTTTTTGTGTCACCAGCATACTAAGGCCAGTCTGAAATGATTTTATAGTACCAACTCTAACTAACGAGGCCACATGATCATGGGTTTATCTGGATCTTTACGAATGTTTAATTAATTCCAGTAATGCAAAAAAGTTACTTTTATCATTTCATGTATAGATCAGTAAAAAAACAAATGACAGATTTTTTCGACAAGACATTTCGCACTACATTGCGTGGCATAGGATTGCTTGAATTATTATTGATATTGATTTTAGTAACTAAGTCGTTGTATAATTATATTAATATACAAACACATGGAAATTTTCTGTTCGAAGTTGGTCTTCGAATTTGTCATATTGACTGCTGAGCTTATTGTGTTTTTTGATTGTATTGACGGAAATATGACAAATTAAACAATGTGCTTCAGAATTTTATGAAGAGCAGAAATGTTACAACTCCCATTTTCTTCGAAAATGCCACCTTCTTCATGTACTTTGGCGTTTAATTTAATTACTCAAGTGTTTTATTCAAGTATTCTTTTGCTAGCTTGATGTGTATTCTTAATTGGGTCAAAATGTGGACAAAAAAAATTAATATTCCAAAACTACTTTCAGTAAATTGTTTTCTGTGTGAATAATCAATTTCACTTTAGAAGGTTTGAAAAATCTATTACATTTAGATAAAAAAAAAACTTCAAAAATACTATTACAATTATTGTTAAGCGTTCGAGGGCCGCACTGGAAGTTCTCTGGGACCGCGAGTTTGAGACCCCTGGTCTAGATTGAAGTTGTTCAAAAAATATATGATAGTATTTATCATGAATGATGGTTATACCCCTTCCGGAATTTCTTCTATAGTACTACCAAAAGTTGATGAACCAAATATAACACAGGTGCAGTGAGGTACCCGTAATCCTCATTTCCAAAGCTGTTTTAAGTATGTCTGGCGTGTTTTGTGCCTTTTTACAAATAAGACCGCTTATGCAATCTTACGCTTTGGAATTTTTAGTTATTTTCCCCAAGCCCTGCAGGATGTGGGGCCATACACAACTCTACCGGAGGGTCAATGTCTTTGCATGCCTCCATAGGTTGTTTTCTATTGCAATTTTCTATTTTCAATTGCATTATATTTCTTGGAATCCACACTGTCACTGATATGTCGCCAGACTTCTGATATCTCCCGTCTGCTATAGTTGTCCTGTGAATAAATAATAGGAAATTGAGATTAGACGAATAGTTGAAAGTTTTGCTTTATGTCGGCTTAATTTCTTGATTGATATACTTACTATTTCTGCTATTGCCTCTTGTGCTGCAAGAGTCTCACAATGCTTAGACACGGTTTGTCCACAACTTTCACATCTGAAGAAAGAGAGGAGATTTATTAATTTTCGTTAAGAATAAATAAAGGCAGTCTATATGATTCAGAATGGAAAAGCTAATAAATCCAATATCTCAATGTTTTATTTAAAAAATATTTTACTGAATTTGGTATATAAACAACTAATAAAAGGGTTTAGTCAGAAAATTACAAGCATTCGTGGCTCCAAATACTTGAGAAATCAGACTATACAATATAGACCGGTATGAGTGAAATGTTTAGGTGAAGCTTGTTAAACACTTTGATTCAATACGGCAAATAAAAGTGAATGTGTAATAGTATGTTACAATGAGCAGCAATCAACAATGAGTATATATCCTCACTGATTAAAAAAATCTAACTGGAGGTGCATGAACTATTTGAAACCATAAGGGTAAGTAAATATGTAATTTCGGCAAATGGGCAACTACGTACCGTACTGAATTAATAACTTCGTAGTATTTGACAAAGGCTGGCTTTCCCACATGTACTTAACAGTACGATGCCCGGGTGTGATATACAACAATAGTATTCACCTTACCTTTTACCGATTTCTTTTTACCCCAACTTTCAAAAATATCATTAAAATCGACAACAACTGTCAAAGCAGGCACGAACACCATTCGTGCTACGCCTTGAAAGCAGCACACATCCGCTCGTTTTCGTCTCGTCAAGTATGTGCATTGGAGCGTGCTATCGAATACGATCTTCGGACAAAAATGCCGGAGTTGCGCATCATGTTGTTTAATGTCATTGATTGAACAACGTCTTTTTGAAAGCGTTATCTACAGAAAAGCATGCTTGGGCGAATAAGTAAATTCTCAACGCTTGAAAACGGCAGACTATTATTATTTTTTTATTTCTTTGGCTGTACATAAATGATCTAAATTCAGATCATTTGTATCGTTAGCGTATATTCCTTTATATTTTTGGAACTGAATCCGATATCCAATTCAATTCAATTCGTTTATTACTCCAGACCGCTGCAGTCCATATAAAAAGATAAGGATAAGATTTACATATTTATCCCGGGGGAGAGGAAAGCCGATTTGACGGCTTAACCATATGGCGAACCACGGCCTCTCGTCCGGTTACCATTCCATGTCGGGTATGGGATTAGTTAGGTATTTGTTTTTCCGAAGCATGGACTTGATGATGGAGGAAACCGTAACCGACCAGCGGTTACGTGAACCACCCAACGGCGGCGAGGAGTCCAGCTATCTTCTCGCACATAACCACCCCGCATGGGATTCGAACCTGCGAACCCACGCAGAGTAATTAGAGGTGCGGTGGCGAGCGTATTCCTAACGCTTAGCACGATGAGCCACACCGCCGCGCAAGAATAACACAAACAAATAAACATTAGCAAAAACAAAAATACCACAATGAATACATAAAATACCAGATACGACAATCAGATTCACAGTAGATCTCAAATCTTTAAATGTATACCCATGTAGTAAAATCGGAAACTGGAAAGTTACAGGATCACAGCTAAGTCGTGTCTTTGGAGGCGTCCCACTTTGAAGTCAAAAAATATGGTAATCCTAGTTTTAGTCAATGCAAAATGTATTGAAAATGATCTCGTTGATAATACAGGATTTCACTTCGTTTTTCCAGTTTGAGAATAATGTCAAACAAGCTTCTGTTCATAGAGTTTAATTCGGGGAATTTCGCGATCGATATTACGATGAAAACATCACAACTTGCAGCATGCGTGACATATTGCCGATCAAAGCAAAAACAACAACTTCTAGCTTTGCAAATCGCGAAAGCAAAGAGATTAGTAATAGAGATAGATTTGTTTTTCCCATTTCGCACTTATACTTCACCAATTACATTATGTGTTTTCTCATGCAAAACCAACATAGATATCATGTGTCACTTCGTAATCGTTTTATGATAAATCATTTTTAAGAAATTTAGCGTCGAGATCGAACTGAGGTTTTCGTAAGTGCTTTATAATAAACACACATTTGTCTGTTCATAGCCTGCTCAGTGCCGTACGTTTTTGGTAGACTATCCACCCGTGGACGATCATTATTCTTTATTTACTTCACGTGGACAATTGATGCAGTTAATACCAAAATAGGAGAATATAGTAGATGTATAATTTGCTAATATATATCGCACCAAGGATTTATGAATTTGGTGCATGGTTACCTAGTTTACAATTATCGTGATTTGTCGTGTGGGACATTGATAAATATGTTTAATGTTTGTCAATCACACTTAGTATTGACATTTCTCTCGTGGCTCAGAGACCGCATTGAGTTACCAAACGAAAACCTCATTACCAACAAGACTTAGTCACTTAGTCATAACCTCGCTTCACAAGACCGCCAGAACGTTGGTAAGTGAACTTTCATAATATCGTGGTCAAGTTTATTTTTTCCATCCAGAAAAAAATAACAGACAGAATTATAAAATTCAAGACACCTTTCCGCAGGGAAATGGAAGCCACGGGAAACCAAAACTGGTTATTAACCAGAGAAACACAAGGTTCTATATCTATTTGAATTTCTATGATCGGAAAAAAGTTAGCACTGGTGAGTAGGCCATGGCCAGCTGAACCACCAAACCCATGAGATGACTTGTGGGGTATTCCTCCAATTGGCCAGGCAAAAAAAATTCAAAAAGGCTGAACTGTGTAAATTCGATAGATAATCTACTCACTTACTTTCTTCGGCATCAAAATTGTAAACTAAATTATATATAATTATCCTTCCAACTCCATGTCGGTTCAAGAGTTAAAACACATAAACTTTTGTATTTTTCATTTTTGTTGTCATCATTCGGATCAGCTGACTTCATGTGTTTACGTCCTTGTAAATGCGCTTTGTCAAAACAAGATACTTAGCTTTCTAAGTTTAATCGAATGAATTTTTTAAGGTTTCGTTTCCAGTAATGACAATCAATATCAGATTTAAAGTAAGAGGAAATAGAGGCTGATATAGAAGAATTTCAAGTTAAGCGATTTGCGTACCATCTGGACCTACAACAGTAATTTACGATGTTATTTTTAAAAAATCTACACATTGTTCGAATTGTATTATAAATTTCAAAAGTTAGAATGGCGTTGTATGAATATCCCAATCTTGACGACGATTTTCGCCAAATACCAATCCATGTTGTAAATGATATTTCACTAAATGTTTTTGAGAAATTCCGCATCAAACAATTTTCCAGCTGTGATATTTTGAGCTCAAATTCCAAGACTGTGAGATAACTCCTTATCGCCCCCATGTGCAGCCATATACTCACTGTTTTGAAAAAAATGTGTTTGAATATATATGTATTTTTACAACAACAAAATTTCATATCGAAACAAGTGTTTCCATCAAGAAAATTTACCCAAAGATGGCACCCGATATATTAAATCAATAATTTGGTAAATATTTCCAGCAAATTATACAAGGAAACCTGTAAAAACTGAAAAAAAGAACTCAAATGAGTTCGCCATAATACTACAGTAAATGCATTTGGAATAATATTTTATATTGACAAAAAGAACAAAGCAAAATAGTCCAGGAATGAGCAAATCTGGCTATAATTCCTAGTTACAAAGATTATTGGCATTTGAAAACCTATTATTAAGCATTGAGGAATGTGATGTCCAATGATAAAAAGGGTAATATTTTATAAAATTATCCAACTTAATCAATACTGCATCTGCAACAAATTGAGCCATATTTAAAATTTTGGTACACATTGATTACTGACGAATCATAAAATTTGACTTTCAAAACTATCTTCAACCTTGACTGTTTTGTAACGCGGCTGAAAGTTGAGTTATCTTTAGGAAAGTCTGCTTCTGTTCTGTTAACTTCTCATGAAGTTTCTTAATTTCATCATCCTTGGTTGAAATTTCTTGAGTAAGAGTTTCTTTTTCAGAATATAAAGAAACAACCTTTTTCTCTTGTGTATCATTTCTCTGATGAAGTCTTTTAATTTCATTTCCACGTTCTTTCAATTGATGTTCCAATTGTTGTTTAGTTCGATCAAGAGAAGAAAGCTTTATCTTTTGACTTTTTGCTTCCTCATCTAAGTTTTGTATATTCGACTTCAAATTCTTGATTAAAACTTCTTGCTCTGATTTCTCATCAAGAAGTTGTCTTGCAACCTTCTCACTCTCCATCACAAGACCTTCAAGTTCGTGAATTTGCATTTGTTTGTCCCCTGCATCTTTCAGAAGTTTTAACCTCTCTTCTTCCAACTCTTCAAGTCTATGTACCCCTTCATTCATCTGTTGTTTCAATTTTTCATTGTGTTTTTGGAACATATCATGCATTTCTTTTAATGTGTCATACTCTTGGGAAAGAGCAGCCAGATTTCTTTCCTGCACTTCAATTCTATGTTTTTTATCGTTAAACGCCGCTTGCAAGCTATCGTATTGTTCTGCTATTTTTTGCAAATTTTTGTTTTCTTCCACAGTAGATTCGAGCTCTTTTTCAACATCTTTCTGATTCGATTCCACTCTTTGAATCTCCAAAAGTAGGTGTTCACATTTAATCTCAGATTCTTGCAGCATATGAGCCAATCTCCTTGATTCTTCTTCAGATTGTATTCGTTGACATCTATTTTGAGCAATAACCCGGTCAGCCTGGGCAAGTGCTAGAGCTTTAGCATCAAGTAGATCCTGCAAGTGGCTTTCTTTAGTTTGGAGAGATGATATCTTCTGTTCATACATTTCCACTATCTGTGATGTCCTTCCAGACAGTTTTTTATCAACCTGCAATTTACCCTGCATTTTGTTAATTAGCGAATCAAGATTTTCTTTATCCTCACAAGAAGAACTACTTGAAACAGAAGCGACGCTTATGTTGTCAAGAACATTGGTGCGATGTACATCATTCCAGATAGCATCAGGTCGATCAAAATTAGACTGCACAGTCTTTAAATCCTTTGATGCATCATGTACTGAAATCTTGTGCATTCTAATACCACTGTTAAAATTTTCTCTTTTATTATTGACTTCAGCCATCCTTTCACCGAGTAAAACTGAAGGAAAGTCAGGTAAAGACGAAGCTTCTTGATGAAGGCGGAAAGCACATTGAACTTTACTACTTTTACCACTGGATAAAGCAGCAACAAGAAATGGCACCATTCTTATTTCTTGTAAAGTTTTATACATTACTTTTTCCAATCCTGGCACAACATGCTTCACCTTGAGCATTAACTCGAGTGTGGTTAAAACAACATCAACTCCGATTTCACTCCAATCAGGTTGTGTTGTAACAATTCCAGTAAGATTTTGAGTAAGTTGATGTTCAAGTACAGATTCTAAAACATCACAATTCACATTCTTGCCAACTTTTGATAGTAAATCATCATCTTCGGATGATAGGCAAAGCAAAATTTGCAAACTTTTTAAAATTTTAAGAAGACAGAACTTGAGCTGGGAAGGATCATTATGAAATGGTTGTGATAGGTGGATATTTAATGTAGCAAATAGATAGTTTGTCCACTCATTCATTGGTTCATTTGCAGATTCTACAACTTCCTCACACATTTCTTTTACCAAATCAAGAGCGAGAAGTGATGGTGAGTTTTCCAATGATGTTGATAGATCGTGTTTTTCAGCACCAGCAACGTGTAACAATATTTTCCAGCAACGCATATCATCCTTTAAAATTCGCTGGCATATGCTCGATCGAACCAAACCTATGTGGCAAAAAGCACAAATAACCTGAAGAATCTTTGATGAAGATCGCGGTACCTCACTGAGATGATCAAACAACTTAGTAGAGCAGCTATTTTCTTCTTCGTACATAGCAAGTTGCTGAGCTATTTCTCCATGTTTCAAAAGTTCCGTACATAAATCAGCCGCTACTGTTAATGCATCTGAATTCACATATCCACTCAAAGTGGAAAAAATTAATTTCATTGCCTTAAACCAATTCTGAGATCTGTATAGCTTTTTGGCAATATCATCTCCCCAAAATATACACGTTAGAATCGAAAGTGACAAAATACTTTGTTGAGATACTCCATGCTTCAATAACAACATGAAATTCTTTGTTCTTTTTGAATTCATAAGAGATTTGGTTTGAATCTGTATTGACATATTGTTCACAATTAGATTGTTTAAAACCCTCAAGCATGGAAGGCCAGTATCGCTTTCTCCTTTTTCAATTTCTTGTAAGATATATGTTAATAATTGATTCAGATGACTTATACCAGAAGATATAGGTCTGGCATATGTAACTTTTTCCAGAAGCAATAGAGCAGAGGGCATTATGTGACTACAATGTTCTAATTGACAGTGTTGTACAATATACAAACACAGCACAGAAGCCAAGCTGAATGATTCTTGGAGATGAGAGCATACATTTGTGACTTTTGAAATTGTATTGAGTAGCTCAACTATTTTACTTAATAAATGGGAATCCGTCGTAGAATCTGATATCAACTTTACCATTGATGCGATACATTCGGAACCAAGAACACTTCTTGAATTGAAAAGCTGGTGTGATGAATGCATGTTTAATGCCCCGAGCAAAACCTCAGTATGGCGAAGTACATGAGACAGATTACTTTCTGATTTATGATATTGATATTGTGTGATTCCCATTGCCAATGACTTGACATTTGATGCAAGGTCGACATCCATTCCTCGTCCATCCATGGCCCTATTTTCTATGATGAATACTAGTTGTCTAGATGCAAAATGGTGATGGTTTATATTTGTGAGATATTTTCAACAATATAATTAATAACTACCAAAATATGACCAGTAGATAAAGAAGGTCTAGTACAGTTCAGTATACAGCTATGATTATATTTTACTTTGACTGCATTTGGGTAATCCAGTAATCAGAGATGTCTAAAACAAATTGAATATATTCAAAATTAGTTATATTCGATTTCATAAATTATTGATTTTAGGAATATACAGAATATTTCATTTGAAAATGTCTTTTTAAGCATTTATTAACTTACAATAGACAAAACATTGGTTAACTTCCGACAGGATAAAACAGAGTATAGTAATTAAAACAAAACTGCAATAATATCTCAATCACCCTGAGAGAGAGAGGTAATTTCATCAAACAACCATAAACAAACCATAAACATTCTATATATGCAAAACATATAAATAATAATTAAAAAACAGATGCTTAGGTGTATGACTGGGAGACACCGATACAAACTTTTGGGGTCATCAGAATCTGTTGCCCCCTAAGATTCTGTTGCCTGCATAACCGAATTTGATTTCTATGAATTCACAATTCCAGAATTCAGCAATTGCTAAATTGTCTTGAAAAATTTCTCTTGGGAAAATATTTGGTTTTGGCTATCCCTTGTACTACGGTAATATTTTCATGAAGATCACGAATTAACAAATCTTAAATAGGTAATATTTATGAGTTTGGTAAATTTTATTTTGTCTGGAGAAATGTTTTTATTTGGACAAAACTATTATTGAATATTTTGTCAATAATTATTTTTTGTACGGTATGCAATAAGCGATTTCCAATCAATAACTCTGGCCAAAGAAACGTTATTCTTATTGCTCTATTATTATAATCATTTTTATTATATCACGACTGTTTTTTTTTTCGATTGACAAATAATACCGGTAAATCTTTCCAGTTTAACTGCTTAAAGTTAAATACGGTAGGGTACCGGTACCGGTACCGTAACTGACTAACGATAAGTTACCGGTTCCGCCGTACTAACGTAGTTATAACTACCATGACCTAAATGACAACGATTTTGAGGTTTTTAAGTACATCAGAAAATCTCAATGAAGAGCTGATGTAGAAATATCATAAGACCGTCGCAAAAAAAGATACGACTCAACCACAATCTTCATCATTTCCCGAGACTTCTTGTTTCGATTTTCAAATTCACCGGGCTGTGTCTCCTCAACTATGTTGCCAGATTTTCTTAAAACAAAATACGACCGCGCATTGTTTAATCAATGTTTTAGATGTAAACTTTCCAATTTTATATCATGTTGTGTAATATACATATTTTGTTTTTGCAATAAACACAATTTTTTCTTCAGTATCGTATCATACTGGAATCCCACGAAAGTGACTGATAAGCTCATGAGCGTCACCTCGCATCCCTGTATGTTGATGTTTTCACTTGTTTTTCTCGGCGCAACGCATGGTGCTTAGGCGTGGGCATAGTCACTTTGGGCGTAGGTAGTAGGTACACATGTATGCTTCCGTTTGGATAGCGCGTACAATAAAATAATTTTTTACTTTTATTCTACGTTGTAATATTATATTACTAAATATACTAAAATTCGATGAATTGTATGACGACCTAATCAACACCTTACAGCCTTAAACACTGATGGAATGGACATACCGGTACCGTAGGCTATGAATAATGGATTTACTTTATGAATGTTCGCATAGAAATGATAGCAAATACAGAAATATGTTAATATACCGGTATTGGCCAATTTTTTATCACATATACGGTACAATATAGACTATAATGAGAGCTGTAAGGAACCTTATATCGTTATGTCTCATTACAGCATTATCAGGTTTTGTTTGCTCTTCTGATTTCATAATCAGTTTTTACTTTCTTTGTTTTTATCAATCATTTTATTGTTATGCTGATTATGAGGTCGAAATAAGCTTATACTTTATTAATAATAGTATACAATATTCGGGTCTCATGTAGTTTCTTACCTAACATACTTCTAGTGGGCGTAACATGACAATTTTTTTACATATCAATCCTAACCCCCACCTGACCCCACCATCCAAAAATTACGTCACTACGACGTCACAGTGACGTAATAGAGCCCTTCAAACTATGCGAACTGTCATCCAAGACGCGCAGACGAGAACCCGAAATCGAACAGCCATTTCTCTCGTTTTCTCGTTGCAACGATCCCGATAGGAGTGAGGTCGCTGACGTCAGTCTGTTCTTTATCGTCGGCGCCGATGCTATTTCGGGCGATCGTACGAGTATTTGGTAAGCTCTATGACGTGATTGTGACGTCGTAGTGACGTAATTTTTGGATGGCGTAGTCAGGTGAGGGTTAGGATTGGCATTGCCAAAAATTGTTATGCTACGCCTACAAGAAGTACGTTAGGTACGAAACTACACGAGACCCCAATATTCACCTGTTAATTGTTTGTTTCTTCATGTAACTATTGCACATTTATGATTAGAGCTCGACCGATATCACTTTTAGCTCTATTTATGATCATAATAATAACCTAAATATTTTATAATCGTAACCACCTGGATAATGTGTACATGTAGACATTCATGATACTGATGATAAATTTATGGAATGACAATGGGAATTTTCTTGGGTGGTGACAATCAACATATTATAATGAATACATATTTTTTACTCTTTCATTACCCATTAAAAAAATAATTACGGTAAGTACTAAATTCCTGACTGATGAAATTGATTATGAAATTTGTATTCAAATCAGTAAGCGCAGAATTTGTACATTTTGGGATAAGTATTGGGTGGATACTGCTGTACTGGGTACAGGGATTCGATATGGGTAATTCATATACCAATTTTTAGGAATTCACAATGCCTAATTTACAATTTCTATGTGTGTTTTTGAATTTGTATTATGCTAGTCTACATATCTGACGGATTATGATTCGTGCTGCGTTTAATACTATTTGATTTTATTTATCCATTAATTAATCTGACATATAACATACGGTAGATTTCAATGCTATTTTTCTTATGCAATTATATCAGTATATGGTGCAAAGTTCAGAATATGAAAAATTTGGTTATGTTTGAGAATAAAGCACCTACCATCACTCTTCATGAAAAGCAGATGAAACAGTGAAATCCGCACAAACTACCGACAAATATCGGTTTAAAAACTTGAGAAATAATTCAATCTTTTGAAAAATGATTGCAGTGCACTAGAATAAATTAAAAATCTATAGGCCAATGTATGGGTGGGAATGTAGAAAACAGTGCTGTCGCAATTGCTATCTTTTATTTCTTTATTGTTTTTAAAAAAACAGAAAGAAACATAGGACTACAGCGATTATTGAGACCAGTAAAAGCTTTCAAACAGACTTTAGAATTCAGAACTTCAAACACAAAATGGCCACATGCAAGACCCAAGCTGCTCCAATTCTCGATGAAAGTGATGATGATTCATTTGAGGAGCTTGATGTGGACAACACAGATGATCAAGTGACTTGTATCTTTACAGGTGAACCCTTTTCATCTCCGTTAGCATATTACACTGCACTGAAGAACAACCATGGATTTGATATCTGGCAGATCGCTCTTTGTGACTTATCGTTAGACTTTTTCAGTTATGTAAAAGTAATCAACTTTTTGAGAAAAAATTATTTTCAAAAATCCCCACCTTCGAGTGAGGAGTTGAGTGCTCAAAAATCTGAGTGGGTTATTGACGATTACCTCAAACCAGTTATAGAAAATGATCCCCTATTGCGGTTTATGCTCGACGATGGATCGGATTTTGACAGCGATGATGAAATTGATTTTACGTCAAATCTAAATGCGACAATATCAAATAATCGTGATGGCGATAACAAAATGTCTGAAATTCAAATTCTTCACGAAAAGCTTAAAAAAAGTGAAAAAGAAAGAAAAAACCTATCTATTAAATTGACAGCAGCATCGAATCAAATTTCGCAAATGAAATCTTTCATGCAAGATATTATACTCACAGGAGACGTGGGTATATATCGTCCTGTTGCAGCGTGTCGTCAAGATACTTCTGTTTATGAAGAAGAATATGAAGATGCAGGTTATTTTGGAACATACTCACATCATGATATTCATGCCGAAATGCTTCAAGATACTGTCAGAACAAATTCATATAAAGATGTCATATTTAACAACAAAGAGCGTTTTGTGGATAAAATTGTATTAGATGTTGGCTGCGGAACTGGAATATTATCTATGTTTGCTGCAAAAGCAGGTGCAAAACACGTTTACGGCATTGATATGTCTGAAATCGCGTTTCAGGCAATGGATATTGTCAAAGAAAATAATCTTGATGACAGAATAACGATACTCAAAGGTCGTGTAGAAGAAGTTGATCTTCCTGTTTCGAATGTGGATATTATTATTTCCGAGTGGATGGGTTATTTTTTGTTATATGAATCTATGCTTGATTCTGTGCTTTATGCTAGGGATAAATGGCTTGTTCCAACTGGTGAACTTTTTCCTAACCATTGTTCAATATCTCTCATAGCCATTCACGATGATAAACTTGTGTCTAGCAATGTCACTTTTTGGAAAGACGTATATGGTTTCAAAATGTCTTGTCTTCGAAAACAAGTTTTATCTGAAGCAACAATTCAAGCGTTAAATCCTTCTTCTGTCATGTCCGAACCATGCGTGGTCCATAGAATTAATGTTGGAAATGTTCAATCGAAAAATCTTAACTATAAATCTGATTTTTCTTTGAAAATAATAAAATCTGGATCATTTTCTGCTATTGCTGGCTATTTTGACATCTTCCAAAATCATTCGGATAAAAGCGACCTAATGTTTTCAACTTCACCTTGTTGTACCCCCACTCACTGGAAACAAGCGGTCTTCTTTCTAGATGAAAGTATGAATGTGTCTGAGGGAGATATTATTCATGGAAAAATAGATTGTCATAAAAATGTCAAAGATCCCCGATCTCTTGTTATATCGTTGACTGTCAATGATAAGACACAATTATATAAGATTGAATAATGATTACATAGGATGGTTTGATGATGTTATGATAAAATTAGAGAATGAAGTCTTTTATGTTGAGTGCGAATGAATTTTAGTAAAAAAAAGGTATGTTGAAAATTTTCACCATACTCATAGATCAGTTTTGACACAATACACATTTTTAACTTCTCAGACCTACATGTTTTTGTGGTACCATGTTTGCTTTCAATGGCACAAAAGTTTCATTTCGGTGCTGTCATAGAGTGTATTCTGTATCGCATCGTGGTTCTATATTTTGAGATTCTCCAATTAACTCCTATGATTAGTTGTGAATATTTAATTTGTTGAATGTTTTTTTTGTATATGATTTAATTTTGAAAAATTTAGTTCAAATTCATAATAGGCCAACGGTTTTAACTACTGCCACAATACACCAACTCAAACAATGTTTCATTGACTTTAGTAAGCTATTTTAACTAATTTTATTCAATCTGCCTAATGTTTTCAGTTGCATAAACTCAAAATAAATTGCATATGGCTGAAGATAGTCAGCTTCTTGTTATAATATTCGATGTGAATCCAGTATGGTGGGGCTTGAAAGCATTACAAGGGAGAGCACAGATAGCAAGATGCTTGGATTGTTTGCTACTTTTTGTGAATTCTTATATGATGTTGCATCATGAAAATAAACTGGCAGTCTTGGCCAGTCACACATCTCAAACGTTAGTGCTTATTCTTTATATCTAATTGTATATTTTAGGAAAAAAAATAGAACATTTTTGATATACAGGTAAACATTAATGGAACATTAAATTGGGTATCAAGTGGATTTGTATATTTGTTTTTTTTTATTTTCATTCATACAATCTTTTTATTTCAGAAAATATTTATATCCAAAACGAGAGGAATCATCTCAAAAAGTAAGGATATTTATATAAAACCTAAGTGATTCAAGAGTCTTGCTGCACTTATCTCTACTCTTGCTACAGCATCCTTGCAATATATGCATACGGATCCACCGGCATAAAAGCATAGAAGAAGGATAAGTAGTTAGTCTCGCAGAAACCAAATAATCAGCGCTATTTATATAAAGTTAACAAATATTTTCTACCACATATATACCATAAAACTTATTATTATATCAAGCCGCACAAGAATTGGCTATAACCTTGTGTGTTAACTCAGTATAAATGTATAATTAGTAAATGTACACAGACATAACCAAAGTAAGCAACACCAACTGGAATGTCTCCCTCGAGTACAGAGAGCGCATGGCTAATTCCATGATAAAATATTTGTTATTCAAAGCCAAGATAGACTAATGCTGTATTCTATTTGCGTACACCTATATTTTTCTAATAATTTGGTCTATCCAAAAATATTGTTTAGAAAGATGGCGAAGATCACCAAAAATTTACGGCCATAAATGACACAATCATTGAAGAGTTCAAATCACTGATGACTACAAAATTAAATGAAAGTAATATTCGAAGTGATTCCTTAATCGCAGGATCTATGACTGTTGCACTCTGCTGTAAGTTTCATACCTAAAATTTCAGATTATTTGAGAGTGACAGTTTTGAGTGTTCAATTCAGTTCTAAATGTTGCAAATTTCGATATCAACCTACGGTACTTATGTTATGCTTTATGTAAGTCCATTACTAATAGGAATTGCAAGCAACCATTCATGCAAAATGAGCTACATGTCCACTGATGTCAACACTCTTATTTCATGCATAAACCTGTAGTTTGACATAGCTTTTCAGGTCAATGCTGACAGAGAAATAAATTGGTTCGAAGGGGTTGATATGTACGGTAACGGGCTACGGTAACGGTACGGGTAAAGGGCTGAAATTGAGAAAAAACTGTTATTTGTTTCGCTATTAGTGTGATATACAGTGATCACGACTTTTCTTTAGAGCCCTCATTAACTGCAAAAAGGGCAAGAACAAGCACTAAATCACAAAATTGATTCAACATGTATCATCCCACTAATGTACCGACTCGAACTGATGCTTGTTAAATGGTCAAGATGCATGGTTCTGGAGGCGTCATTATGGCCCGGGTGTTTAATAAGCTCTGAATTCCTGTTTGAGTACCGCAGCGTTTTTGACTCAATTTTTTGTTCGAGTGTCGAGTCATTTGACTAGCGAGTTGTCACTATAATATCTGATTATATGAATATTAATAAGGTTGACTGACTTTATAGTTTTTTTTCTACCAAAGGAAACGTAACCAGGTAGCATTCTTCACACATATACCGGTTTTCCACTTTTTAACCAACTTTCAATTCTTTTTGTTAACCAGATATCAACAAATTACACAGGGAGTCACGAATGGGAGAGAAAACAAGATCTCGTATACTTGTCATCAAAGCTGCAGATGATGCCGCTGCTCAATATATGAGTTTTATGAATGTAATATTCGCAGGTATTTATGGCTTTTGATATACAGTTGCAGCCACAGGTATAATAACAGACCACAATCTGAATCCCAACTGAAATGTTGTTCACCTTGTTAATTTGTGTGTTAAGGGATATGCAGATTGGCTTTACATAGCGAAGCTTTCCTCAAAGTTGCACTAATGAAAAAGCTACGCTCGTTGCGAATCAGAAAGTTTTTGAAACAATATTAATTACAAAATAAACAATGACATATTTTAGAAAATAGAATCAATATCTTCTATGATTTTGTTTAAAAAAAGTCAAAGGGGATTTTCATGCAAGCCAACATTGGATTTGAGTCATGACGCACACGCTGGGAAACTCGTATCTAGACAGTTGGCTTGCTTGGCCGACAGATTATGTTCTCGTTGGGACACAAGTTCAGAAAAAATATGGTAACACATTGTGATTCTTTAGGTTTATCACAAATTCATACCATACTGAGAAATTAGTTTTCGCCATTATTAGCTGTTTGCAGAATGCTTCAATGCATTCATTAGCCAATACTCGGTGAAACATAGTCTACATATTGAGACTTTAACTGGTATGTTTTTATTATTTCAGCACAAAAGCATCAAATTGTGATCGATTCCTGTGTGTTGGGGCAGGATTCTGGTTTATTACAACAAGCATGTGACATGACAGGGGGGATATATATGAAGATTCCTAATCAAGAGTCACTTTTACAGTATTTATTGGTAATTTAAATTCAATTATTTTTTTTATTATTACTCTATTACTAGTGACAAGTACATATTGTTTAAACTGTGCCATCAGTTGTTTTGTTGTTGGGTCTGGACAGTCGATTTCAGTGTAATCTGCGTTGATGCTTTAAAAGTGTTGCGGTGACTGCAAAAAATTAAATACAAGAGGGAATGCAGGAGACTGTGTTATGGGATTTAAATTTGTGTATTTACTGCCACCTCGACCCACACAGAAATATATTTGGAACATTTGAGAATGCGATGCTCAAATATATGAATACAAAGGCCAAAGTGAAGCAGTAGTCAACCTTACTTTATACAGTACCTTAACTATTCTACTTTATGGTTTGGTCAAAATATTTCCGACTTTCGAGTACCTCGATAAAGGTCTCAGAACCGCTACAAATAATTTCTATTAATTTTGATGAGCTCATCACATGAAATTTCGAAGTGAAAAACGAATCACGAAGAGCCCACATAAAGTTTGGAAATAAATAAATATAATCTTTAGTCACTGAAAATTTCAAAGCTAGTGGTCCATTAGTTAATGAAACGAAAAAAGAGATTTTTTCATATTAAGAAGAAAAATACCAACAACAACAACATATTAAACATAATAACAAAACGATTCATTTATGTACACTTTGTGTCTAAAAACTGATTATTTGATAACTTAATATTGCATTTGTTTCAGACTGCTTTTCTTGTCAATCCCGATCTTAGAAAACAAAGTTTAACTCTGACTTCATCAACAGAAAAAAGAAGTGGTGTTGACTACAGAGCTGCTTGTTTTTGTCATCGTAGTCTCGTCGATGTCGGTTTTGTCTGTTCTGTATGTTTGTCAATATTTTGTCAGTTTAGTCCTATCTGCTCTACATGTGAAACTGCTTTCAAACCACCTCCTTCGCTTGGACTGAAAAGTAAAAGAAAGAAACGGGCTGCTCACAATGGCCGGTCTACAACATGATGCCCAAAGAGAAACACGGTGTCATAAGAAAACAAAACCTATGAATTTCTAAATTATATTTACGAAAAAGAAGAAATTTATTTAACACTTAACTTCTGTTTGTAGAATAGAAATGGTTTGTGAATAGAAAGTTTTTTTCTAGAATATGTTTTGAAGGACCTGGGTTCTGCTTTCTCTGGTCACCCTGTGTATCACATCAGTATTTGTATAAGCTACGTGTTAAGGAATACCGGTATGGCTTATTGGATGCAAGATACATGCAGTATTCCAAGAGCTTGATTCAAGGGAGTTAACAAACTTACTAGATATTTCCAAGTGATATGCGAGTAATTTTGTGGTTGGTTAACCTATGTTAAACTTCAATGATGTTTTCATTCCTTGTACTTTGCAGCTTAATTCTATCACACAATAGTTTCAATACTTGTTGCAATATTTTATTATTTTAAATACACTGTTTATGGCCAGGCTTTGAATGGTTTGACAATAAATTTTTTCACCTCTCACTTAGTAGGTATGGGGTGCCAGCTATAGTTTGAGCACATTGTGATACCAGCGTTCAAGCTTGGTATTGTATTTGTATGGCTTGGTTACCAGTTACAGCATTCATTACTGTCACATGCCATTAGGATTTTCGTGTTTCGATTAATTCATTCATCAGCCAGAGACCTGTAGTAACATAATCGGAGATATCTCTCTCATTTAATTGCTTGCGTATTCTCGAGAAGAAAACAAGGTAGACATCAAACATTAATCACAGCGTGCATAAAATAGAATTCAGAATAAAAAAAGTCGGCGCTGGATGCCCAGCGGTAAAAACGATGAAGACTATTGCACGCTTTCTTGCGTTTCCAGCTTTATTATCAAAATAACCATCAACTAATATTTACTGATGATTTTATTCCAATACTCCCCCACCCAACAATGAAAATGCCAATTCTTTCCTAATTTTATTTCTACCCTAATATGCGATATGGAAGGTGTAGAAATGTAGGATTACATGAATTTTTGCACAAAAGTAAAAAAAAATTGTAAAATTTCATCAGCACAGGAGATGCCTGTCTGCTATCAAATAAAATCCAATTCTCAGGACATTTAAATTAAAATGAAGACAATATTATCTCTACAATTTTGTTTTTTGAAATATCTAATCCAGCAATATGTTGAAAGAATTCTCATTCCCACTATTTACTTGATCACAGGTATTAAAACTAGAATATGATCTGGTACAAGTTATTTTAGAATACGGTAGTAATGTATTATTCGGAATTACCCATCATTGCTTGTATGCAACATGTAAACAAACTTGTCATCACAGGCCACCGATTTCTGTTAGGCATTTTGTCCTAATCTCATGTACCCTTGCTAGCATTCTGAAGCTAGCAACCTTCCAGACATCGATACCAAATAGAGCAATTTAAATTCTTTTATTCAAAATCTACACAACAGAACGGAAAAGGTGAATTGGCAGAAAATCTGTAAGATCATGCTTTGAATACCACGAACCAAGGCAACGAATGCACCAACATTAATTGTGCTTTGTAGAGCATAAGCCACAGAAGTATTAACTATAATGAAAACATATCTAACCATCATAATATTGAAAAGTGTGAGCCAAATAACACAATCTGCATTATCAGCAGTTTATCATGGATTATTATAACATATAATTAGCTGCTCGATATGCTAAGTTATGTGCTTTACAATATCACAGGATAGTACTTGTTAAGGCCTATAAACAACACTGGAAAAATAATAGGGGAACATAAATTATCTCTGTGTGGGCAGTAATAGGTAGTTTACAATGGCAAAAAGCTGTTTTAACAAGCGTTCATCTGCATGCAAAAATCAGGGCTTCAAACAAACTAGACGAATTGTTTAAAGTAATTTATTTATAACAATTAACTAATAGTTTTACCTAATACATTACTACTATCACATGGAAATGAAATAGTTTATTAAAAAGAACAGAAGTTCTAAAACTTTCTGGTTTTCAGCCAGAACAAATAATCAAACACAGGCCAGAATAAAACCAGCCTTTTAGCTAAGGTTAGCCAAATGGTTTGAATATAGAAACTAGAAAGCATATCAAGTCATCAATTATTAAATCATTTTCAAAATCAAGGAACCCGAAAGGAATCTTAAAACATCTTGAAAATTGTTGTTTTAAAACATAAAAAATACTGTGACAACTTTGGAAACTTTTTCGGTAAGTATGGTATGAATTTTTGAAAATTTTAACATATATGCCAGGGAAATTATATTCAAAGTGGCCAATAAGAGTACTACATATTTTCATCTTTATCTATATTTATAATCATTGTCTTGACCCATTTAGAATACAGTCGAAGTGAACTACTGACTGCCTGAGGCTCATGCTCAACAAAAACAATTCAGAATGCGGAGAAAAAATCTGAACAGAAGAAAGAAAACTTATAATAGAGTGAAGTAGTAACAGATAACAGCGTCTTTATTAAATTCTTAATCCTGAAACCCCAAAACGCGTCGCTTGAAAATATTGTTAAGAAATTGAACTATGAAATCAAATCTAATGGATATAAGTATTATGAATAGGCGACATATATTCGGTAAATGTCGCAAATGAGCTATGTAAATGAACAGGGTACTGTATAATGGGAATTGTTTAATTTTAAATCGAAAATAAAATATTATTTATTAAAAAGTAGTAGTGCAGTTTGTTTCAATAACATTTGATTAGTGCTATAATAATAAACCACATATGCAAAATTTTAGATTTTTTACCCTCAAGAATATAGCCGCAGTAAAACGAAAGTAGCTCATATCACATTATTCTGTAACGGACTTTTATATCTATCTGTCATTATGGACCCGGGACCATCTCTGGGTCTTCGAAGTTGTATTTGTTTTAGTTTTGATTTTAAGTAGTCCTTTATGGACGCCCCAGAAGTGTATGTACCTTTATGGAGGTAACTAAATTTGTTCGCCTACTTCACATCAAGTTGTATAAATAAAGGCCAGTCCGCGAACTCTCGGTTCAGCCGGAAAGCTTAAGAAAAATCATAATAAAATTATGGCCTAATCCTAATTTGCCCTAGTACATATACTACGGTGGTACCCCTTTATGTCAATTTTTCAGTTTAGCTGTTAGAACCAAACTATTGATAAAATGCTATTTTTCTAAAAACTAAAAATGTGACATGAGATATTTTGGTTCTACTGTGGCCATATAATTCATATAACTGTCCATTTATAATATAATAACTCATGTGAGCTACTAAATCGCCAAAATAATTCTCTACATAAAAGACAGTGCAACATTTATCTAAAAATTTTTCAATTATCTAAAATTTTTTCAATCATACCTCAGTTAATTTACATTAATAGTATGAATATAAAACTTGAGATGAGATAAAATCAGATAATATTACCGATTACAAGTTTTATCTTTGACGGAACTTGAAGAGCATTTGTGTATTAAAATCATAAGATCAGGATAATTACAAAATCATCTAATATTTTTTTAATAATAAACCGCTAAAAATTTCATCAAATGAACAAAAAACGAATATTTAATAGAAATTCACACTTGACCGAGCATTGTCAAGAATAGTATTTTGACTCAGTCCATGCTTGGCAGTGCTTGAGTGAAAAATTTCTAATTAAAGATGAAGATACAAAGAAAAAACAATGGAAGAGAGAATGCTATGTACAAAAATACACACCCTGTTAAATCGTAAACATTTATATTAGGCCGAGTAAGGTTAGGAACTGGAAACCACTGCAAAGTACCCCTGTCCATGCTCGATTTCAACAATTTGAATGGGTAAAATAAAATCGTTTTTACATAAAGTTTGATGAAGGCAGTTTAAAAATCTGTGACAAGAATTATCCCATATTGTCACTGAACTCACTTTTGAAAGACAACTCAACACACGCATGATAGCTGAAATTTGTTATTAAATGGAATTTTCGAATATTTCTATAAATTGCAATTAGTAATACAAATTGAACAAAAACACTCGACCAAATATTATCTACCAATTCATGTCTATAAAGAAGATAATTGGTATGGTAACTAGTTCAAAACCATCGACAACATTTCCGAAATAGTAGACTTAATTTTATATTAGGGATAGGATAATATAGTTGCGTTCAATCAAGTAGAATAATTAATCTTTAAGTCATTATCAATTGAAATATATAGTTTTGATTAAACAAGCTAATTTCATTCTGCAATAGTTATTTTATAGACACCCAACTGCCAAGCATTTCGACGAAAACATAACAAGAAAATGTGACAATCGTAGTAAATTGGGTGACAAAATAAGCGAACGAATTGTCACAAAAATGTGCATTATATTTTTAAAAGCGTATGTCACGTCGCTTGAGCAACTGTGCCATAATTTTATAATAATACTGTCCCTTGTTTGGTCACAGGCACATAAAAACATGGCAATATTATTTACAAACATAATAGAATAATAATAAAAGTACAAATATGTACAATACAAGAAAAAAAAACGGTGTCAAGCAAACAAAGAAAAATAGCGGAACGCTAATGGTAGTGGTAACAAAAAAATGAAGCTAAATCAGAACAAATAGGAAATAATAGGACACCGTGTATACATACACTACCTCGCGCTTCGTTAAAATGATAATAGCATAAAAATAAAATGGAACTTAGCAATTTGTGTTGTTGTTAACAATGTAAAAGCATTTGTAATATGCTAAATCGCACAAGAAAGAAGAAGATAGTGAAATGCTGAATACAAGAACAACTATCGTTACAACAACTCAAAATTCGCGATGAAATGCAAGAAAACATATTAAACCGACACGAAAACAAAAAGTAAAAAACCTTCAAATGCATACAGAGACCTCAAACTGGCTTTATTCTTCAAGTTCAAAAATGTACGCTTTTCAATAGGCACTGATTTGTTAAAAACAGAGACAAACGAATATGCATTCCACCTTTTCCAACAATTTGGCCACCTTCAAAATAAAAACACGTCGACTACAGTACAGGAAAAATAAGAATATTCAATTCAGAAGTATGTACAAAAATGAATAGTCAGTCATTCACATTATTAAATCTCCAACATAAAATTTATAAATGACAAGCAAATTTCCTTTTCGACGAAATGCTTCATTCATTTGAGAAATTTTGTGCTTCGGATTCATAATCAGTCAATGGTTTAATCAGTTCTGAATCTGGCAGTTATAACCCATAAAGTTTTTGCCATAATCGGGTCATATTCGGCCGGCAATAACCAATATGTAACCTCATGATAAATAACCCAAAATGATTTTATTGAGTTATTTTGGTTTTTCTTTGTAATATTTGAGCATTTGGCTTTATTGCTCTCCCTTTAGCCAAGTCTATTTGTTGTCCCTCGGACAATAATTTGGAAGGTTTTTAAGATATTTTGGATTGTACTAGATTCGAAGTCGTAGAAGAAGTTTGCTTTGTAGCTGGTTCTTCATCTTGTTGACATTGATATATTTTCTGACGAACCTAGAAAAAGTAATAAAAATAATATTCAAGCTTTTGTTTAGGCAAGATTACTCTGAGCTTTCTACTAACAGTAGAAGTACCGATAAAAGAGTTGCAAGTAATTATGACAGCCAAGAATTATATATGAACCCAGAAAAAACAGAACAGATACGGTAAATTACCATGGGTACCCATTGTACCCAAAAGTCCCAGTAATCCTGTACGCTGTAAACAAAATTAACATCTTCTCAAGAATATGTTCCAAATGTCTTGGTCAGTTGACAAGATACAGGAAAACAATCAAATTAACATTTTTTTTTAAAGATTTGCTAGACTGAAATGAAAAAAACTATCAAAAGTTACGTATTGATCGCATTGACATACCTCTCTTATCTTCAGCTGAAGACAATTTTTGGTTGGAAACACATCAGAGTGACTGGCTTGAAATTCTGCCGTAATTTGATCTGAAATTGAAAAAATATATAAATAACTTTATTTTAATTTAATCAGAATTAATCAAACAACGAAAAAGCATCATTTTGGGGTAGAAGTTCCTGAACCAAGCAGGTCAAGTTGAGTCATGGGTCATAAGAGTCTTGAAATTAGAGATAGAAAAAAAATATTTGCATGTTTTTTACTTTTCGGAAAAAATCCATGCTCTTCGAATAATTTCATCACAAGAGATCTTCTGAGATCAAGAATCTTCCTCAATGAACTTCCTCTTGAATCAGGAGGTTCAGATGTATCAGAATCATCTGAAAAAATAGATATGTAAATATTAGCACTACAATAAAAAAAATGTATCTTTTCAAGAGTGAACCATAGTTTGGAAGTTTCAAACACCCCATTAAAAAAACGGTTCAACCACTAAAACACATACAAGAAAAAAGTAAAATCAAGTTAAATGAAAAAAAAATAATTTTTTGATCTCCTTATAATAACATAATTTTGCATTGAGATTAATTTTTTTGTGAACTTAGCTACACCTAGCCAGTTTGCTGCTGCTACAGACTAAGTGCGATGACAACAAGTGTCTCTCGGATATTTTGTCAGAACATATAACTGATTTCTTGCCACTGTTCCATGAGTATCTTCTTCTACTTTTATGAAACGGTTTGTGCCTTGCTCTGATAAATTTGGATAAGAAAGATGAGAAAAACATTTAATGCTGATAGCTGTTAACGTCTCTCTGATATAACATCAAATGGCTTGAGCGTTCATTATTCCGAGAAAATTGAAAGCTGTTGTAAAATGTTCAGCCATTCACAAATTTATCGACCAATTTGTCCTACTTTATGGTGCAACTAAATTGTCAACATTCACACGGTTGAAGATAGCAAAATAGTCTTTTATACAATATATCTCACACTAACCTTTTCTTAGGATTGACTCTCCATGTTCGAATGTAAATATATCGCCTCCAGAAGTTGACGCAGGAGTATTTGTTGCAGAACTTGGTAGTGAATTAGCTGAGTGAGGTGTTTCACAACCAATATTGTGAATTTTTTTTCTTGGTCTTCGTTTTAAATGAGGAGAAGTTGGAGTGTTTGGAGATTCTGGAGTATATACAAGAAAATAAATATCAATAATATGTTTAAAACAGAGAGAGGAGATGCCCATAATAAGTGAGAATGGAAACAGAATATTCCTAAAACCAAGAACTTGAAATTTCAAATATACACCAATTTCGAATACATTTGGATACTTCAGACATTTCTGATTTGAAATCAAAATAAATACAAAGAATAATATTAAAATACTCATCCAAATATGAACCTCATATCATGTTTGAAATCGGGTAATTTAGCCAAACTATTTTAGTGTGGTTATGTTTATAATTTGTTGTCAGTTGACGCAACCACGAGTTATGGTGTACGCAATTAAATTACTATAGCAAGACATTTTAAAATGCACATATCTGTAATATTTTGCTCAACAAAAAAATCATTATCCACAGTTTCAACGGGTGGCGTTATTTTGAACCCCCCTTTTTGAAAGTCCTAACTGCGTGCGTCTCTGATGACAACCCATAGTGAATAGAAAAAAAAAGATTACAAATTACCTGTAGAAAGCTTTCTCTTCTTTCTATAACTTTGCAACAAAACATCAGGAGTTGTCGGAAGTTCTTTCGGTGTTCCAGGTGTTGGTACTAACTCAGGTTTAAATTGCGGAAGTTGACTGAATTGTTCTTTAAAATTGACTTGACATAGTATCCTGCAACAAAACAAAAACTGAAAACCTGTTTTCTTGAGCAATTGAAATAAGATTAATGCCTGAACTCAGTTTTACTTCTTGCACTATAAAAAGACAGGTTCCCAAAAAAGGCGATAAGTGCATCTCGGAAATTAACAGAATTGTGTTGAACATAACTAATATATGATTGAATGTTTTACATATTGTATTTATTAGAAGTGTTGTGTATATGGATCAATAAATTCATTCTATTTTTCTATGTCGTTCACTTCCTGTTATGTAGTGTCTGTGTCTATTGCTGCGAACCGTTATGTTACAAAAGAGGAAGACACTACTTGCTGCAATTTTGTGAGCTGCATTTTATTTATTTGCTGAACCGATTTTAGCAAACATGAGTGATTTTCTATCATTTCAAAGGAAAATGAGGCAGAGGTGTGGAATGAGAGTTGACCTTCTGCCTTTATTCTTTGGGCCTACATGTTTACAACTTCAAAAGGCCTAAAGTACACAATAACGATCACGAGATTAAGTTTAATTTAAAAGCAGGCATTTATTATTTATAGCCGGTAATTACACCACTACACTTGCCTATACACGTATGGAAAAAAATTCATATCCCGTTAAACAAACCTGTCTCTATCTCTATCCTGATCTTTCATGTCCGCCTTCTTTTGTAATATTTTGACAGAAGATATTTTGTTGTAAAATGGTGCCTCAATGACGTCAGTTGTATTTGCCTATCAAAACAGAATAGGATATGAACAATCAAACCAAAAATTTAATGAGTTTGGCATATAGGCCTACTATCACTTTGTATTCAAGAGTTGCAACTAACACATAGATTTCTGTCACATTTTTGAATCACCTAAAGTTATTTTCATTCTAGCCACAGTATCCTTGCATTATATGTATAAGAATCCACTCCGCAAAATGCTTATTATAAGGACAAGTACTCAGTTTCCAAAAAATCCATATAATACCATATCCATAAGTTAGCATTATATCTAGAATATTTTCACAGTGCTGATTTTAGAATATCGATGTTTATTACATATGACCATTGCCAATCTGATCAATATGAGAAAATATAAAACAAGATAATGCAATATGTCTCTACCTGAGCATCTTCTTCAGATATTTCAAACTCTTTTTCCAATCTGTAATAAATAACATACACATAAATTGAGATAAGGCGAAAATGTCATTTAGACTTTATAGCACCTTGATGTGGATTAGAATTAAGATCAAGGGTTCATTGAAGTTATGCTGATGTAAGATTGATGATCATCTAAAACAAGGGGGGTATAACCTTTAATATAAGAGGGCCAGATACAAGTAACTGAGTGAAACCGCAGGCCGCACCTTTTTTAACATAGGCCTTTGCAGGCACAAATATTTTGGTTATTGATCTTATGACATGCGTTGTTTACTTTGCATAAGCTAGCTTCGGGCATTGTAACGTTATATGCATAAATTGGACTCCGATATTGGCTTTGTAATGAGAAGGGATTGGGATTACTCGCATGTTTCAGATTAAACCAAAGTAAAAACTCGTTTCACGGGCCGCACAGATTTCAAAATTAGCACTTCTCCGCGGGCCACAGGTTGTACACCCCTGATCTAAAAAATAAGATTTTCATATTTATCCAGGAGAGAGAAGCTGATAAAACGGCCCAATGTCATATGCCTAACAAACTGCATCCAATTATCAGACCAAATTTGGTTTGATAAAATTCAGTCTTGAGATATTAGATATTCCCCGTCTTCCTAATTCTTATCAGTATCTTCAAATTCACTTATTCATCAAGATGCCTGATCTAATTTACCTTTCATTTTCTTCTTGGTATTCTCCTTCGGATGAAGAATAAAGCAGACTTTTCTTCCTTCTCGATAAAAATTTAGATGGTACAGGATCTAATTTTAACACTGATGAAGTTGTACTCGATGAAGAAGCATTAGAATCCTGTAAAACAATGTTTTAGAAATTATTTTTTCATTTTTGCACAAAACACTTGGGTAATTTATTTTCCAGGTGTTTTCCATGGTCATACCTGACTGAGTCTGCTAGTTCTCACCGCAGAATAAGGCACAGATCGATTCGGTTCTACCACACTTTTCATCTCTGTTGAACCAGCTGATGGTTTTTCAATCGATGACATGACATTTTGCAATGAATTTGTGGTGTTCACCGAAGAGAAGGCCTATACAGAAAAGGTTCAATTAGATTTATCTGTATTTATTTATATATTATTCTGCTTAATGTGTCTCAATGTGAATAAAGCTCTGTACAGAGCATTAAGTCATGGAAAGCTTTTGTGGGTTTTCCAAATAAGTTAGAGTTTCAATTCCTGGTACTCTGGGTTAGTTGGTTCGGATTGAAAGACAGAACTGGTCAGGGTTTAAACTCATTCCATGATGATTGTAGTTATTATTAATAAACGGAGGTCATTCATGAAGAAAACTTTCATTTTCAGGACAAGGAGCAAGTGGTAAGCATCACTCTTGGTTTATAGTGACCAGTGACAGTGTGTCAAATGATAGAAACATTACTGAATAGTTATCCAAATCACTCATTAGAATTTTACATTTTAGTTAACCAGTGGATAGCTTTGTTAAATTGCTATTGTCGATATATTCTACTATTTGTGGTTGAAACAAAAAAAAACATTCACACTTTTGAACTGCTAAACAAATCATTTCCGAAATTTCAACAGTTTGAGATGAGAGTTCTGAATGTTATTACCGTATTTTCCCGAAATTACGCCTATATCGAGAATAGGCCGACTCCCTGAAAACGGCCTTAAAACAATGATTCTATAAAAAATCGCACATAAGCCGGTCCTACGAATCGTTACATGCCTGACGCCTCAAGAAAAACAAAATTATTGTAACGCAAACATTTCTCTCGTTCATCGTTTCTGCATGTTAGCGAGGGCCGTAGGTGGATTATTACCCGTAACTCTTACTTGTTAATTTATGTTAATAAAGTCTATATTGCTTTTCAATGCGTCGTGATTATGTCGGGAGTTTAAAATAGAGTTCCTGAATCAGCATAAAACAATTTCCTTTGATCGCCGCAACGGCGATTGATTTCGTTCCTTGTCCGTTTCAAGGAAAGAAATAACGCTGTATTAACACATTCTTATAAATCGCTACGAATCTTAACACGCCAGACGCCTTAAGAAAGGCGCAGAAAGAAAACAAAATTGCTGTAACACAAATATTTCTAACGTTTATCATTTCTGTTTGTTAGTGACGGCCGTAGATTCTTACTCGTAACTCTTACTTGTAAATTCATGTTAATAAAGTCTATATTGCTTTTCATGCGTCATGATTTGTATTAATTGAAGGGATTGTTGTCGGGAGTTTAAGAGAGTCCCTGAGTCCCCACTTTCACAAGCAAGTGTGTGTGTGCGTGCACACTTTTTATCGGGAGAACTTGGTATGGTTTGAAGCTTTTGGAATTACCGGCAAGTCAGCATAATATCATCTCGTTGCGTGATCAAATTCTGATGCTCGAATGAGCTGATTTTTGGGTGCAATCTGAGTTATGCGAGAATACGACGGTCCCTTAGTTAGGCAACTTTTTTTTTTGAGTTTTAAACTCGGCCTATTCGCGATCATATACGGTACTTTTGTATTTTTTCAACTTTTCAGCACGGTAATACTAGAAGCCTTTACATATCATATGAGCTTTGCTCTCTTGTATTGAATTCATTATACATTGCAATCAAATATAAAGTATAAACTTACATTCTG